TGCTGAGCAAGGAAACCAAGCTAGGATGAAGCACTGAGTTCAAACCTTTGTGCTCCCCTCCATTTTTAAAAATTAGTATTAGCATTTAGATCCTAAGTTACTCTATTTTTAATTTTTAAAGACAATTTTAGGTGTTTATATAAATAAGTGCAGAACAAATTCAATTGCCCATTACCTAGACTGAGTAGTTACCAAAAATTCATCACATTTGCTTTACCTATTTCCTTACTTTCCATAATCGCTTTTGAAATTGGTCCTTTATTCTTACCTATGTTAGTATACCTATGTAAGTATGTAAGCATGTTCATACCTCTAAGAAGGTGTTTTATCGCATAAGCACATCTGATGAAAGTAGAAACATTTTTTTTCATTATCAAAGCTCACTCAAAACCAAATTTCTCCATAGTCTCAAAAATATCAGTTGGTTTTCTTTGAATCAGGACTGAAAATCATATGTAGTTATATCTTCTGAGCCTTTTAATTCAGAAAAATTTTTCCCAGTTTTATTTTGCCTGTGATTGTCTGTTTAGACTTTTTCTATAGATATTCAGCATTCTGAAAATTTCCAATCTTCCATTGTAAACTGACTTGTTCATCTCTACTATGTTGTCTACTATATTCACCACTAGTGGCTATGCAGCACTTAAAATGTCTAAATTGTAGCCTAACTTGAGGTGTGCTGTGTAAAATACAAAACAGAATGTACAGAATAAAGTAAGATATCCCACTAGTAACTTTTTTATAATTGAGTACTTGTAAAATAATATTTTGGACATACTTGGTTAAATAAGTACAATATTATAATAAATTGTGTCTGCTTTCTCATGTGAGCCCTGATCTATAAACTTTCTATTCTAAGTCACCTAGCTTTATTAACATCAAGCCCCAGTAGGCATGTAGGATCAGAATCTGGAGTTTTAACAAGATCCCTAGGGGATCAAGTGACTCATTAAAGTTTGAGAACTGCTGTTCTGTGCTGCATGTTCTGGTAAGTAGATCCTCTTAACTCTACATTAGTGATCCTCAATTCTGGTTGTACCTTAGTGTACAACCAGAGAGATTTTTTTTTTCTAATGAGGCTGCCCACCAGACCAAGCCTTACCTCCACAGATTGTGCTTTAATTGGTGATAGGTGGGACCCAGGTAAGTTGTGTTTAAAAAATACTCTCATTGTCTCACTTGTAAATGATTCTATGAGTGAACAGTGGATTCAGATGGTGACAACCTGATTTCACCTTTGTGAAAATTCACATCATTAGCCCTTCAGAGTCATATTACCTACAATAATTGACTGACTAGGTTTATGAAAGTGATTGTTACTTCTTCCACATTTAGAGATAGAATTATGTGAAAAGAACTTCCCATCATAGAACTTCCCATCATCACTTAGGGCTATTGGGAATAATATTCTGTAAGAATATTATTGATTTCATCTAATAACAGATGCTGGTGGGGATATGGCCAAAAAGGAGCACTACTACACTGTGGTGTTAGTACAAACTTGTTCACACAGTTCTGGAAAGCAGTATGGAGGTTCCTTAAGAGACTAAACATAGAGCTCCTCTATGACCCAGCAATCCCACTTCTGGGCATTTACCCAAATGACCACAAACAAGGCCATACTAAAGCTACCAGCACAACTATGTTTATCACAGCATTATTCACCATAGCTAAAATATGGAACCAACCCAAATCTCCCTCAGTATATGAATGGATCAAGAAGATGTGGTATATGTACACAAGGGAGTTTTATGCTTCCATCAGAAAGAATGACATTGCCCCATTTGTAAGGAAATGGAAAGACCTGGAAAAATTATACTAAGTGAAAAATAGGTTGTATGGTTTCCCTCATTGATAATAACTAGAATATGTCTATAATCTTAACAGGGGATTTCAATAGCCCAATTGCTAAGTGCATAGGACCATATCTAGTGAAGCATATCAACATGAACTCCAAGAATTGGAAACAAGAGGTTTTTATTTTGTATGCAGTTATATCCTTTCCCCCGCTCTGTTTTAGTTTTCTCTTCCCTTTGTCTTGTATATAAGTTTATCTGATCCATGGAAGGGAAAAAGAATCAGAAACAGCAGGACAAAGGATGGACTAATGCAACAATTATACTCACTAGACACTATGTTGGAAATGAACTTTACAACTTGGGGAGATGGAGGCAAGTGGGGAGTGGTTAAAGCAGGAGAAAATGAGAGAGGCGGTAATAGTGTTTTAAAAGAAATGTTCTCATTACCTTAATCATGCAACTGTAACCCCCTGTTTACAATAAAGATGAAAAAACAAAAGAATATTATTAATTTTCAGAAAATGATAATGTTCTAATTCTTTCTAATGGTTACCAATGAAATGAAACTTCTTTGTTTTTCTTAATTTTATTTTTTAAAGAAGTGATTATGCTTGTGCAAATTCCTTAAAGTGATGTAGACAATTGATAAGACTGTGGGAAGGGTGAATTTGGCAGGCAAATAAATATGCATGGGGCATGGGTGGCTTATGCTTGTAATCCTAGCTATTCAGAGGCTGAAGTCTCAAGATCATGGTTGAAAACCAGGATCCATACTTCAAAGCCAGCCTTGGTAGGGAAGTCTGTAAAACTCCAATTAACCACCAAAAAGCCAAATGTGGAGCTGTGGGTCAAAAGGTAGAATACTAGCCTTGAACACAAAAGCTCAGAAACAGTGCTTAGGCCCTGAGTTCAAAAACAAAAATAAACAATAAGAAAAAACATAGCAGTACAAATAGGAAACTGCATGGTGGCTTCTCATCACCCAAACATGGAAAGCAAGTATTGTGTACTTTGGAAGTAGAATATGTGAACAGTGTCAATGAGAATGAGACTGTTTATTGCCATTCTTGGAATCCACATAGAGTTTCCAGTTTCATATAGATTTTTGTTATAGATGGCAGTAATATTAGCTGATTTTCTGGATTTTTAAAGGCAAGTGAGAAAATCTCAAAGATATCAAAGTCTAGCAAAAAATGGATATTTAATTGTTTGGATGTATGTGTACGTACATACAGCAACAGAAGCAGATACACTTTATGGGTAGTACAAGAATAATGGTCCACAGAAAACATCACTTTGAAGCTGACATTGAAAGAGGATTAGTTAGGTGTTCCCTTGTGACACAAAAGAAGAAAAGAGGTACAGGGTTCTAGATAAAGAAACATGAGTGCAGAGCCTCCTCTGATTAAAGAAGTAGAATAAGGTTTATAGTAGTAATAGAAGCAAAAGTATCATTGACACTTTCTATTAAGAAAATGTGCATTCCTACCAACCCTGTACATTATTAAAACAGAAGGATAAATATATTCTCTCTGATGTGTCATAGTCATGTAAGTTATAAATTGTCACAAATTGAATTTTAGCAAGTTGTTTAATACACAATTTGATTGTGGAATGCTATTTTAAACAGAAATGGTAAATAACTGAATTTGTTTCTCTTTTAAAACAATGTGATATTTTCCACCTGAAAAGATACAAAGACTATATAATGAAACTTGCTATTGGTTGAGATGGGGTCCCTTGAACTTTTTATCTGAGCTTGACTCAGACTTACTCCTCATCTCCACCTGCAGAATAGGAGTAAGTAGGATGATAGCATGAGACATTGGTGCCAGGCAAAAAGAATAGTCTCTTAGAATATATTCTCACTGACTTTTGCCTGCCTTTTAGTATTTAGTCTGAGACAAAACCAAGTACTTTCATCAGATAGTGTTTCTTTGTGGACATTGTGGAACACGTTTTTTGACACCCACAGTTACCATGTGAAATCAGTAATATTCTTCTGTAGTCTGTTAGAGACATGTAAATGTAAATATTAGAATTCTTTGTAGTTAGAGGGGATAAATTGGCTGGTTCTTTTTAGCATAGAATTCTGTTGCTAGCACCTCAGTCCTGTCTCTTACCATCCACAATAGGACTGCTGTCTGTGAATGTTGGTGATAGGCACCCTACATTGCCCTGCTTGTGGCTTGATATAGGAAGGCTATGGAGTTCTATTGAGGATGCATGTTGCCTAGACAATGTTAAAGGCCATTTAGAGGTAGAAAAAGACCTTTGCTTTGAAATTTAATCAATTCGGTATTAATAGTCTAATAACAATGATCAGTTGATTCAAATTAGTGAAAATTTGACACAAATTTAATTCTTTTACAAGTTGTTATTCATATAGAGGAGTTTAATGAAAATTAAAGAAAACCATGAGTTGTTATAATGACTTCATTCCATAGCTGAAATATTTCAAGTTGATAAATTGTTTAGTGCAGTTATCATTGATTCAGTAATTTTCATGAAGATTTATTTATAGTCATTTCTGTCAAAAAATAATTGTAAGAATCTTACAGCTTTTCCCCTCATGGTCTTTCTTTAAAAAAGAACATTTGTCTTTTGTTTATTTTATTGCTTTTACACGTTGTTTCTGAGTTTGTTTTATTTTGTTTTGCCAATCCTGGAGCTTGAACTCAGGACCTGGGCACTGTCCCTAAGCTTCTTTTTGTTCAAGGCTAGCACTCTACCATTTGAGTCACAGTGCCACTTCTGGCTTTTTCTGTTTATGTGGTACTGTGGTATCTAACCCAGGGCTTCATGCATGTGAGGCAAACACTCTACCACTAAGCCACATTCCCAGCCCCTGTTTCTGAGTTTTAAAACCAGAAAATCTTTCACATGGAATCTTTCTTCTATATTGAAGCTAGCCTCCAATAGCCTGTTTCTTTAAGATATCAGTATTGTTATTTGCAATGTAAATTGCTGCTGGATCTTTTAGTACTTTTGTAAAAATATCTGTGGAAAGGAAAGAAATATCTTCATTAGTACTGACTGGTTATAGCTAGCACAGAAAGAATGAAAAGTGCCTTCTACATATTGTCATAGTCCCAACCAGTCTTGCTGTAGTTCTGATGACAGACTATTATCATAACATTAGGTTCCCCTGCCATTGTAGAAGAGTGAAGATAAAAGCACTCACCATCTTAATATTCACAGGACTGTGCTAAAGAATAATGATTTAAGATCAAGACAAGAGTTAACTGCCCACCTCACCAACCAGTGGCCTTCCCCAGGAGCTCTGGATGTCAATGCTGTTGCCTTGGATACGTTGCTTTACCGAAAACACAATAAACAGTGGTATGAGTAAGTGTAATACTTTTTTTCCACCCTAATTACAAATTTAGTTAGTTGTACCAAAACATTTGGCTCTCCACTTTGGTGTATTAGTTATTCTTCTGAATTTTTTTATTATCTTAGAGAGAAGTTAGGTTTTGGGACTATTTTGATAAAAAATTTTTCTTTAAAAGTTAATTATGAGCTCTTTGAAACCAAGGCATCCTGGGGAAGTAAAATATCTGAGAAAATTTTCTGAAATATTATTGTACAGCTGTCTTCTCCATTAGTTAAATATTCAGCCAGTCACTTTATATCAAGTATACCTATGAGCTTGTGTTTAATGAGCCAACTATTTTTTAATCTTAGTTTTGGTATTTTATTTGCCCAGAATTAATTTCCCTTCTTGTTACAAAACGTAAAATACCATGTCCTGAGAGGAAACAATGATATATATATATGCATATATATATAATAGAGATCTTTATATGTATACAGATAGATACATCTATACATATATAGTTACATAGATATCTATATGTAGATCAATAAATATATATAGATATACCTGTCTATATCTCACTCTTCATATATATAGACATATATTTTTCTTGGTGGATCTGAAAGAGTACTTACTTTCAAAAAATCTTATTTTTAAAAGATAGAGAACATTTAATCATTCTACCTATAGTCTAAGACCCTTTTCCTATTTCTTTATCCTAATTATCTGTAGTATTTTCCTTAGTAATAATCTCTTTTTTTTTCTGGGGGGTCCGGTCGTGGGGCCTGGGCGCTGTCCCTCAGCTCTTCAGCTCAAGGCTAGCGCTCTACTAATTGAGCCACAGCACCACTTCCAGCTTTTTTCTTTTTGTTTACGTGGTGCTGAGGAATCGAACCCAGGACCTCAGGCATGCAAGGCAAGCACTCTACCACTGAGCCACCTTCCCAGCCCTAGTTATAATCTCTTGATATTGAGTGATTTACAAAATCTTCTTTTTAATTTTATTTTTTTATTGTGAAAATACTGTACAGAGGGGTTACAATTACATGGGCAAGATAATGAGTACATTTTGTATCAAGCATTGTAGCCTCATTCTTTGTTTCCCCTTCCCATCCCTTCCCGTCCTCTCCCCGCCCCCCCCCCCACCCAAACCTCCCTGATTTACAAAATCTTAACCTTCATTTTGAACATCACAAATTGCATTACGCTTTTGGATTTTAGCTACTTCTACATTTTATTAATTTGTTTTCACTGTATTTTTCTATCCAGTTAATTTTGTATTTTCCTTGATATCCTTTCCTCCCTTTGTTCCCTTTCTTTTCTTTTCCTTTTCTTTCCCTGTTTTTGTTTCCCTCTTCTTTATCATTGTTTTTAAGTGTCACTATGTTTCTTAGAATGCCTTACTAGGTAGGCAATGAGTTGCTATTCATTTTTGTCTGTTGAGCATGGATACTTATTTTAATGACTCCTAAACTCAGTTACTTCAACAAGAAAAGTTTTGGCAGACTTACCTTCTACCTGCCTTTTTTTTTCTTTCTAGTACTGGAGTTTGAACTCAGTCTCATGCTTTCTTAGCTGGTACTTTACAACTTGATCCCAGTTTTTTTGCTGGTTATTTTGGAGATGGAGTCTGTCCGACTTGTCTGCATATTCTGGCTTTGAACCATAATCCCTTGAGTAGATAGAATTGTAGGTGTGAATCACCAGTGCTCAGCTTCCCACCTTCTCACTTTCTTTATTCTGTGTCTTTTTGCTACTGCTGGTTATCAAAGGTAGAATTCAAAATAAGTTTGACTTTGTGTTGTTAAAAACTTTTTTTAGAGAATTTTGTGCTTTTTCTTGTTTCATTGATTATTAGAGAAACATAGTGGTAAACAGATTGTTAGCGGGATAAATCAGTAGATTCCTTATACTCTAATTCATTCTTCTCACTATGATTTAAGATATTGACTTTGGATATTTCATACAGGTAGATCTATTTCCTTCACATATTCTTATGAAAATTAGGTGTTACTAATATGTATCATATGCTGTTTATACCATTACCCCCTGTTAGAATAATATTCTTTTGTTTCTATGTATGATTGAAAATTTTAATTTACAGATATTTGGTATACTATTTTACATGTTATGCTCCTGCTTTTTAACTAAAAATTGTGACAATATTAATTCTTGGAAAATTAAAAGATTGTGTCTTTTTAATTGCAGTATCCACAGTGTCATGTTAAAGAGTAGGTGAAGTATTTTAGCTAGCAGAGGTATACTCTTAAGTGTCTATAAATTTACCTCCCTAATAAAGAGTCAATAAAGAGTCCTATAGGGAATATTTATTTCTAGTTTCTATACCTTCTGGTGACTAATGTTATAGGTGTGAACCATTGTACCCAGCCCTGATTTTATCTTTCATCACTCAGTTATTCCTTTAGGAAGGGACCATCCCTTTCTTTCTGTAATCATCTTCTATTCTGACTTGACCTTAGATGTTAGTATTGCTTTTAGATGGTCCTGTTTCTAAACTGATATCCTTGAATGTAAAGCATATAGCTGGCTGGTAAAAGTTCAAAGATGAATGACCTACACTTAAAAGATAATAGTAAGCTAGACTGGAGATATGGCTTAAGTGGTAAAGCACCAGCCAAGGAATCATAAGACCCTGAGTTCAAACTTGATACCAGCGACAAAATAAAAATAAATTTCAAAATAGAGAATATAGGTATTATGCTTTAGCAAATTTTTATTTTGTTTGTTAATCATTTTTAGGAAGAAAGGAATCTTAAAATAGTATAACTCTGCCTCTATGTACATGCATGCATTTTTCTGCAGATAATATATATGTATTATGTATGTATGTATGTATGTATATTTTATTTTCTACCTGACCTCAGCAAATGTTTGGGGAAAATGCATGGCATAGATTGTCCACATTATTATTATTTTCTAATTTTTATTTTTTTATTTTTGATCTGTAGTGAGGCTTGAATTAAGAGCCTAGGCAATGTCCCTGAGCAATTTAGCTCAAGGCTCTACCACTTTGAGCCACTTTGAGTCACAGTGACACTTCTGGTTTTTCTGGTGGTTAATTGGAGATAAGAATCTTATGGAATTTCCTGTCTGGGATGTCTTTGAACCAAGATCCTCAGATTTCAGCTTCTTGAGTAGCTAAGATTACAGGCATGAGTCACAGGTATCCAGTTCACATTTTTTTAAATAATTGATACAAAGTGTATGATATTAAAACCATCTGTGCGGCAGATCCAAGAAGGTAAGTAAGGCAAAGAGGATTGAAGTTGGTGGCTGAATAGTGAGTGATAGGCCTGTGGCTATATAGTGAGACCCTATCTTAAAACATATGAAGGGAAAAAGGAAGATTATAGGAAAATAAGAAATGAGTTCAGGCCAATTGCTTAATTTCTTTGAACTGGCCCTTTTGGGTATGAATGGAGCAAATAGTTTGCTATTGAATGTAGATTTTATTATATGCTAAATACCCATAACATATGACAATTCCTAAAAGTTTGATTGATCTGTAACAATGTAATAACATATATTAACAAATTTTTGTGCAGTCAGAATATGTAATTCTTAGTTTTTTCGGTTCTTATTTTGAATGAGTTAAAGTACTGAAATTTAAATTTTTTATTTAACAACCATCAATAACTGTTTATTGGATTAATAGGTCTGGTGGGTTACATTTAAATGTAAGTGGGTGGGGTGTTATTGAGTCTAAGATAGGACATACTCTTGGCCTTTTAAAAATATCACTAGGAACTGGGCTCCAGTGGCTCATGCCTGTAATCCTAGCTACTCAGGAGGCTGAGATCTGAGGCTCATGAGTCAAAGCCAACCTGGGCAAGAAAAGAAATGTCCATGAGACTCTTATCTCCAATAAACCACCAGAAAACTGGAAGTGGTGATGTGGCTCAAATGGTAGAGTCCTTAGTTGAAGAGTTGAGGGACAGCACCCAGGCCCAGAGTTCAGGTCCCACAACCGACAAAAAAAAAAAAAAATCACTAGGTACAACACTTAAAAGATAATAATATTTAAAAAAAAACAGCCATTGAGTGGCTCATGCTTGTCATCCTAGCTACCCAGGAAGCTAAGATCTGTAGGGAAGCTGTGGCTTAAGTGTAGAGTACCCAGCCTTGAGCAAAAAAGATCAGGGATAGTGCTCAGGCTCTGAATTCAGAACCCAGCACCAGACTGATGATAGATAGATAGATAGATAGATAGATAGATAGATAGATAGATAGATAGATAGATAGATAGATAGATAGGCACTTTCTTATATGGATAGCTTATTACATAACAAAATGTCAGATGGGGTCTCATTGGAAATCAGGTAAGAATGTACAAGTCAAAGTCATTCCTTGCCCTACTGAAAGCAACTGAATCCATATTTTTCTCCTAGATGGTTGGTTAGTAGTCATCTTCAAGCAAGGAAGCTCTATTTTAAGGTAGTATATTCAATGTCTTATGAATAACTACTTAATTAGAGGTTGAAATTTTTATTATTGCTCTTATCAGTCTTCCAAATTTTATTTCTAATACTTATTGGCAGTTGATTATTTAAAGTCTATAAAGTCAAAGATATTTCTCTTTCACAAATTGAAGGTTAGAAGGTTCAAAATCACTTTAGATTTGTCTGTCTGATATTCCAAAAGGAGCTTCTGTAGTCATACAGAAATTAACAGATTTCCTTCCTACAGTGAGTGTATACGTGGTAATTATTGTAAATATATGCTGTCAAACTCTCAGTCTTACAGTATACAATTTCACAATTTTTCCTTATAGGTGTTTTGTTGTTTTAAATACATTTTTGGCACTATTGGGTACTGGTGGGCAAGTTCCATACTGCCTAAGCCAGGTGCCTAGTACTTTTTGTGCTTTTCAAAATTTGTTTCCCAAGTAGGATCTTGTGTTTTTATCCATTGAACTTGGACCATGATTCTCTTACCTCAGCCTTCTCAGTTGTTGGTACAACAGGCATATGCTAACATGTGCCCATCATATTTATTAGCTAGGGTCTTACTCAATTTTTTGCCTCTGCTGGCCTTGAATCATTATCCTTTCTCTACCTCCAAGTAGTTGAGATAACAGGTGTATACAGCCACACCTGACTGGTTTTCTTATTGTTGTTGTTTTTAGTGTTTTTTTTTTCATTTGAGACTGCATCTTATTATACAGTCCAAGCTGTCCTGGAATTCTCTGTATAGTGTAAGCTACTTGTCTCAAACTTTCCATCCTCCTGCCTCTGCCTCCCAAGTGCTGGGATTGCAGGTATGTACCACATGCTTTGTTTGTAAACACTTCCATGTAAAATTTTTATTTAAAAGATTAAGTTAGAAACCAAACTTAAGCCATCCACTTAAAAAGCAAAGCAAGCCTCTTTTGAGGGCATAAGAAAATATTGTCTCTCTTATCCTCACTTGTGAATAATAATTTTTAAAAGTTGGGTGTGTTGTAAGAACTCAAAATTCTCACTACAGAAATCTAAAAATCAAGTATGTCATTTACAATAGGGCTCATTTTCTGTTCAATTTCTCTGAGTGCTGAGTAAATCTAGCTGTGTGAAACATTACTTGGGCTAAATCCAGCAAAGTGAACATTTATAAATGCCATGTATAGTCATTTAGGAAGTCTTCATGCACACACACACACACCACATGACGTTAGACTCTACTAAAGTAGAATTTCATTAATATTTTTGAAAAAACTGTAGAAAAGTAACATTTATAATTGCCCATTAGGTTCCTATGATGTTTTCTTTTCTAGCTAAGAACTATGGTTTTAATGAAAATCAGGTAAAATTTCCAATGATATGATTAGTTTAAATCATTTACTAGATCTATCTTTGAGAAAAGTTTCAAAAGATAGGAAGCCAAGCCATTCCTCCTATACTAGAACAGTGATAAGGTAGTAATTAAGGGTATAGAATCAGCCAGGCTACTAGGTTGAAATGGGTTTCTTCTTCTATAAAGTGAAAATAGTTAATAATTCCAACTTGTTAGGATACTTGTGCAAATCAGATAACTTAATACACATATATAACGTAGAACTGGGATTGTACAAGTGTTTCATAAATATTTTATTTGGGGGTTACTTGGGTTTGAACTTAAGCCTTACGTTTGCTAGCCAGGTATTCTACTCTTGCTCTTTACCTGGGCTATCCTAGTCTTCATTTTTATGCTTACTACCATAGCTGTGATGATAGGCACATGCCACTTTTCTTTAATTTTTTTCTTTTGTAATGGGGCAAGGTGAGGAGGTTATCTCACAGACCTTTTTGCCTGAGCTGGCCTATAACTTCAATCTTTTTTATCTCAGCCTCCCTTGTAGCTGGAATTTCAAGCATGTACTACCATACCTAGCTATTGGTTCATATGGGCTTTTGCAGACTTTGTTTCCAGGTTGGTGATGAACTGTGATCCTTCCAATAATCATTTCTGAATTTTAGGTATGAGTCACATGACCCAGCATGGGTTTTGTTTTTTATAAATGTGTAACATGTAGCTTGTGGAAGCACTTTTATCAAGAGGTTTTTCTATAATAGTAGAACTGTCTGTTGCTCAACAATTATAATTAACAGCTTTTATACTCTCAAAATTTGAAAAGTTCATCATCTCATTCATTCTTCACTTCTTAGAGAAATAAACCCAATACCTGTTATTTGTGCCATCACTGTGACATCCATAGTGTTTTATCTTAATAAGATTGATGAGGAATAACTTTAAAAGATGATTTGACAAAAAAAACTACTGTTTTGGTAAAAAAAAAAAAAAGATTATGGCAAATGCCTTTTCTGTGTTTTTGTTTTAAATTTTGGCTACTGTTAATTTGGCTTTAATAAAAAAATGTTTTCTTAAGCCCGGCACCGATGGCTCACGTCTGTAATCCTAGCTACACAGGTGGCTGAGATCTGAGGATCACGGTTCAAAGCCAGTCCGGGCAGGAAAGTCTGTGAGACTCTTATCGCCAATAAACCACTAGAAAAATGGAAGTGGTGCTATGGCTCAAGTGGTAGAGTGCACTTCTTGAGCTGAAGAGCACAGGGACAGTGCCCAAGCCCAGAGTTCAAGCCCCACGACCAACCAAAAAAAAAAAGTTTTCTTTTTCCTCATTTTGGATAGAACCTTAACATAGTATCTGGCCATAAGTACTCAAACCATATTTAATAACAGTTACCTTTGGTAAATCTGTAGCTTTCCATTTATACATGAATTATCATCAAATATAGTTATAAATTAACATAATCGGAAAAGGGATGCAAAACAGCTGTTGCTATAACTTAAGTATGATAAATACTATGGTTGTGCAAATGTTTTTAATTGTATTCTGACTTGTAATCTTTTGGATAAATGCCCAAGAATAGTAATGCTGGATCATAACATACTTTTATGTTGAGCTTTCTGAGGAATATCCAAACTGCCTTCCACAGTGTTTGCAACACCTGACATTACCACCATCAGTGTAACAGGGTTCCTTTTTCCTTTTATATTCTTGATGATGGACATTATTACTGGTGTGAGATGGAATGTCAAGGTTGTTGAGAATTTATGGGCAGAAACATTGAGCGTTTCTTCATAAATTATTGACCATGTTTACTTCTTCTGAGAAGTCTTTATTTAGCATCTTTGCCCATTTACTAATTTGGTTATTGATTCTTTGAAAGTTTAGGTTTTTAAACTACATTTTTCAACCTTCTAAATTATAGGAATTTATATAATTTTGTTTTGTTATTATGTAATAGGTGTAGTGATAATAAGACATTGAAGAATTCTGAAGTACTTGAGACAGTTGGTCTTTATTAAATTAGACCAATTTTGTTTCTTCATTTGGAATAATCTGTAGATGCTATGGATTTTTGAAAATTACTAATGACTAAAATAAAAGTTCCTAATTTCAGTCATCTGGATTATTACAAACTGATGTGAGGATTTTAATTTGTTTGATAAATTATTTTTCTCTTAACATTGTCTAATGAGTAAAACTAGATATACCTCCAAAGCAGGTTGGGAGCAAAAGTGTAATTGAGATCATACTGAAACTAAGATAATGGCAAAATTCAAGATAAATCTTGGGATAAAAATAACCAGAAATTTAATTAGTTTTAATCAGTCTCTATTTGGGGGAGAAGAAATGTAAGACTTAATATTATCCTTATTTTATAGGAAAAGTTATCAAAGTCTTGACCAGTTATCAGCAGAAGTTAGCCTTTCTCAGACTTCGTTGGATCCAAGCCATTCACAAGAAGGTGATGGAAAACAAGACACATTAAATTTAGTCAGTGAAGGTAAAACAAAAATCTATTTTAAAGTTATCTTTAGTGTTATCTATATTTTGATTGCAGAAATTTCCAGCAAATAACAATGACCTTTCTATAAAGCATGCTAGAAATTAAGCTGCCTTTGCAATGAAAATTGGTCTTCCCTTGTTTCTTTCTCATATTTGTGTCCTTCTCAGAACGTATGTGTAATTGTCTCCTTCATTTCCTCATTTCTTATATGCTTTTACTACTCCAATTGGTATGTGCATCTCTTCACTTTACTAACATGACTTTTATCAAGTGCTCAATGACTGTCAAATTGCTAGTCAGTTCTTTGTCTTCATTCTTCAAAAGAGTGTGTAAATATATGTTATATATGTATGTATATATAATATGTATACACACATATGTACACACATAATGGAGTGTTATTCAGCCATAAATAAGAATGACAACTTCAAAGAGTTTATAGTGTAATAAAATAAAAGAGAGGCTTCAAAAACTTCAAAGAGTTTATAGTCTAATAAAAGAGGGACTCCCACATTTACCATACAGCGTAACAGGTAAGTACAAATGACTATGGGACATTTTGGGACGACTATTTGAAGTAATATATAATAGTCAGAAATGTCTGATATCTCTAGCTCAGCTTACATTTCCATAACAGCATGACTAAAACTTAACTTATCTTTTGTCTTTGGAAACCTGCTAATTTTCAAATGCCTTAGTCATTCATGGCTTTGTGTCTGCCACTTATAGCTGGTATTTGTAGACAGTCAGTCCTGAAAAGAACTTGCTTTTATCTCAGCCATTATACCATTCATCTTTCATGGTTCTAAGTCTAGTACTTAAGAAAGGAGATACTGAATGAACTACTCAGTAAGTGAATAGTCTCTTGAAATGAATACTTCAGTTTGGGTTGGGGCAGTCCAATCTGACTAGGATCAACCGAAATTACTTAGCCAAAGTAGTTACTTCCTAGTTTTTCTCTGGCCTGAGCACTGTTAACTGGTTGGTAGTTGAATAGTTTTATTTTCTTTTACTAACCATCTGGAAATGAACATGTTTATCATTTTTTAAAGGTAAATTTTAAATCTTGCTTGAAAGTAAGGTATTTCAAATATCCATTATCTATTACTTTCAATAGAAACACAATCTTGTGTAGTATTTTTAAAGCTTATGCTATATATGCTGAAAGGTCAAGTTATCTTTGGATACAAATCTTTGTCTTCATAGTTAATATTTTCAATATCTTACAAATTGTGGAAAATTTCTCCTAGTGTCTCATCCTGAAGGCTATTGTTATTTTATCACAATTTTCAGGTAAAGAAGACACTCCCTCATTACTTGGTCTCTGTGGGTCTCTAACATCAGTGGCAAGTTATAAGTCTTTAACAAGCCTAAAATCTAATGACTACCTAGCAAGTCCTACAGCAGAGATGACAAGTCCTGGCCTAACTCCATCCTGAGAAAACTTTATGTAAAAACCAAAAGTTTCTATATTGTAAATGTTCAGTTTACATAAGTTTGACTGCTGGGAGGCCTTTGAATTTTTATATTGTTCTGGTACTTGTTTGAAATTCTGTTGCTTAGAGTTCAGTCCACTCACATAGACAGACTTCTGAGCCAAAACACAATGGGCCCTGCTATTTTTCTTTTAAAAATCTTGTACTTGCCATAGAGGAAGTTCAAAATTAAAGAGGCTTTAAAAAACTTTCAAAGATCCTTCAAATGAAAAATTCTTTGCAAGTTGTACATAGGTATTATTTAACTGATTTTTATGTGTTTGTTTAAATGTATCTTGGTGGCCACAGACTGAGTTCAAAGTTTGATTCCAGGGATTTATGCTAAGTAGTTTCTTTCACCCTCTTATTCAGTGAATAATTTTTTTCATTTTTTCATGATACATTCTAACTTCTAATGTTTTCACGCCATGTATTCCTGGGGGAAGTTCTTAGATGCAGCTTCACAGTGACTGTTTAGTTTTCCTTTTACACTGATCATTTGATACCAACAAAACATTTTCTAAATTTTGTGGGAATGTGCCTTGTTAGGCAGTTACTAACTTAATTTGTAAGGGTTATAGGGAGCGTATTTTATATTAGTGAAAAATAAATTTATTACCTTTGTTTTTGTGAGATCTTCTTTAGACATCATCAATGTTAGAATGTGGTCAATGATGCCTAAAAAGATGGAAACGTTTCAAAATGTAGAATAAATGTCCAAAAACTGTTATGACAGAAAATATTGCAAGTTTGGCTTATCTGAGACACTTTTAAACAAAGATAACTAAAATAACCATCATATTTAATAATAAACATGTCTGACATGCAGTGGTATTTCTTTCTCCTTTGTGAATAACTACAATAAATCATGTCATGCACATTTTATAGCCTTTATCATTATGCCATGTCATTTTAAAATTGATGTTAATGTTTTAAAAAATGTCCCTACACTTCTATAGGTAAATTAATTTTTTTAATATAATCTGTATTTTAAATCTTTTTGCAGTTTTTGAAAGAGCTACATTTGTCCCTAAAGATTCCACCATATTGAAAATGAAAATATATAAAGTATATTTTCTATAGTAAGTAATATGAGGAAAACATGATCAGTTGTGCCAAAGAAATTTTATACATTGTTTACATGAAGAGGCCACAATACTTACCTGGGACTTCATATGATATTTTTGTTTATTAATAAAACATTGTATTCAAAATAGCTTTGATGTGTAGGAAGAAGTTCCTTGTAATACTTTTTATTTGAAGAAAGCTGAACCTACTATATTTGTTGTTTTTGTTAGAAATGTCAGAGTGTGATGGTTCTCTGTAATATTTTTAGCTTAGTCTGATAATTTGGTATAGAAAATAATCAATAGCAAGGAAGCAGCCTTTAGCCTTTAGATCAAACAGTCCAAACACTGTGATTTAGGGAGAAGAAAGCCGGCAAACCCTTAAAATCATTTATCTTAGATGTGCCAGAGCATACTCAGCAGAGATTTATTCCTTTAGCTTAAAGCTTTACAACTTGCAGAAGTGCAAATATTCTTGAGAAGTGATACCTCTAATTTGAATACTTACGTATTTTACTTGAGAGTGAGAAATCCAAAGAAGTTTTTAATCAGCATGAGAGATGGGAGGAAGTTATAAAATGAAGACAGGAGAAACCAGGAGGAAAACTGAGAAGGAAATGGATTAGAAAGAGAACTTTGAATACTTTAGGCTGGCCTTGAACTCTACCACTGCATTCCTAGGAACTGTCAGAATGTCTAAATGCTTATCCTTCATGTTCCACTCACAACTGACATTTATGATCCTTTCCAATTTACAAAAATGTTAAATTTTTCCATACATTTTTATGATGTAGAAGTAAATTCAAGATCACATAGTTGGTACACTATTTCAGATTTGTCTAATGAAAACAGTCATTTGTGCACGTAAACATGCCACTAGCTGCAGACTTAGACCACAGCTGAGGATCATGACTTCTCCTTGGAGCTCTTGGCATCAAATTCATCTGCTATTGTGAAATTCAGGTTTTTATACAGTTCATTTCACTAGAGGTAGTTTTTAGATGTTTGCATGAGTAGACAATGTGTATCTTAATCTTTAATTTTAGGTGGCAGTGTTTTTCACACCCAATCCCCCAAAATAGAATGTTCAAATGTCAATATTTCCATGAGTATTTTGTTGCCTTGATGTACTATACTTGTTGCATGTATATTAAAGCTTTTTATACCATGAATAATGATTTTTTTCATTGATTTAAATTGTACACTGAAATTTTAACAAATGTCGTAAATGAATTCACATCCAAAATAGTAATATGAAAATGATTTGAGAAATCCTTATTTCAATTCAAATACTCCTTTTTGTTTAAAAATAGTAGTACATAGCATAATGCTTCAGTGAAAGACCAAATATGTGACAGTGGTCCCAAACAATTGTACTGGAATTGAAAAATTCTTATTCCTTCATGACACTGATTTTTTTTTTTTCAGTCCTGGGGAACTCTGGCCTGGACACTGTCCCTTGAGCTTTTGCTCAAGGCTAGTGCTCTACCACTTGATTCCAGCTCCATTTCTGGCTTTTTTTGATAGTTTAATAAAGAGGCTCATAGATTTTCCTGCCAGGCTGGCCTCTAACTGTGATCCTCAGATCTCAGCCTCCTGAATAGCTAAGATTACAGGCATGAGCCACCGGCACCTGGCCATGTTCTTATTAGATTACAAGGACTAAAGCACTGAAGAAAATATAAGGGAACTCAAGAAGTTGTAGGCAAAATACAACAAAAAGCTATTCACATTCTATAAATCCTGTCACCTCTGACTACCAGGCTACCATAAACTGTGTACAGTGAAATGGACTAGACTATTATCTCCATCCAATCCAGAAGACACAATTACTTCTCATGGACTGCCCAACTATCTGCACACGTTCTCTGCTTTGACTTATAAAGACCCTTATCTATAGTCAATATAGGTTGTTCCTACTTTCCTTTCCTAAGTTGGGGTTATAAAATTGTTAGCTCTAGGTCTATTTGACATTTTCAAATTGCTATAGATCTTTGCTACTAAAGTTGTGGACATTTGCCCCAAGACCTGGTCCTTTTCCTGGCTGGACTCCAACAGCTCAATAAACACTACCTTATGCTCACAGTGACATTATATGGCCATCAGGTTTAACTGTATTATTAAGGATGAATTTGAAATTGAGACAAATTGCTTCTCAAAGAAGTCTCTGGAAACTGAAGAAATATCCAGACATTGTCCATAGTGTTCTTGTAGGTCTTCTTACCAAAGCACATACTCCATTTCGTGGGTTAGAAGGAATATTTCCAGATTATCTTGCAAGTGCACAAAATAAGGGACTTGCTATCCCAATGCCTCAAGCACCCTGCCGTGCTCAGGGCCCTTGGAGCACATGGTGTGTCACACATAAACAGTGACATTTTTCACTTCTTTTCCAGTGTGGATGCCTCAATAAATGTTGATAGGTTAGAACTAAAAGCACTGACCCCTGCCTCTTTTGTGTGTGTGTGTGTGTGTGTGTGTGTGTGTGTGTGTGCATGTGTGTATGTGTTGGTGCTTGAACTCAGGGCCTTGTTTTTTGCTCAAGGAAAACTATTCCTTGGACTAAGTTTATCCATAAAGTCTTTTAGAACACAATGAAGGTATTTTAAAGTAGTAATTCTTCTTTACCATGTAAGTATAGAGAAAATGTCTTTTCTTCTGAATATACCAAATATGCATTAGGAAAATTACCAAGCAGCTGGGCAGGGTGACACATACTGATAATCTCAACACCCAGGAAATTGAGGTAGGAGGATCATGTTTGAGTTTGAGTCTGGCTCAAGTATATACCCAGAGGTTATACACATTACTAAACAGTTTATTTAAATAAGAATTTCCTCAAATGTAGTACTGGACTCTTGAAATGGAAAACTTTCTGGGATTTATAAATTACTTTTCACTGAAATATGTATTTTCAAAGCATACTACAATTCCTACTTTTCCTACCTTAAAAAAGGTAAAATAAATGTTAATCAGCAGTGTAATAAGTAAAAATAAACTTTCATTTATACATTATAGCATTATATAAAAGCTAAATAGAAGCAGGCATAAGATAAGTAGGCATAAAATATTTTAATAAATTATATAGGAAAATTATGAATGGACACGCACATTGACAATATGAGGTAAATAAACATAGGATGAAAACAAACAACAAAGGTCACATATAAGCCTTACAGATTATTTCTGGTGAAGCACATAAATGTTTTACTAGTATAATACAATAGGTATTAATTTCTCCACACAAACTAGAAAAATTTAACACCAAAAAAAATCATACTATTTTTGGAAGGAAAATTCTTTACATTTTTATAAATCACACAGAATACAGTAAAGTGCTTTTTTTAATAATATAAATCCTGAGAAAATTAAAAAACCATAACAGATTATCTCCTCTTGTCCTCCTGATATCATTTTTTCCCTCTTTTTTTTGGTGTTGCTGGGGACTGAATTCATGGCCTCACATATGGGAGACAAGCACTTTATCTCTACGTTTATATCCCTAGAATAATCACATTCTTTTTATTTAGTTATAAGTAAATTAAAACTTGGCCATATGTAATTTTTGAAGGAATAGCTTTTTGTTTGATTTGTCCTATAAATATGAGACAGTGTTAAATCAAGGGAAATTTTGATTGCGTGACATTACAATATAGGCGTTCTCTGGCTCGCTCTTGCTCTCTCTGGCTTGAATTTTCTCTCTCTAGAGCTTGAATTCAAGACCTCAGACATGTTAGCTTTCCCCTCCCTTTCTCTGTCAGTCCTGTGGCTTGAACTCAAAACCTCACACATGCTAGGAGGCGCTATATACCACTTCAGCCACACTCAGCCCAAATATGTCTGTTCATTTAAGCATTTAATTTTCACATGTACCTATAGCTTGAAGGTAATTTTGTGCAATAAACTTTCCATGCTTGTATTTCATATGCTATTATCAGGTATGAAATTTCTCACTTGTGTTAAAAAATTCAGATTGTGGGTTTTTAGATTAAGGAGGTTAGACCTGTAACAGTATCTATCTTGTTAGAAAAAGTCACAGAAATGAACTAATGACATCCATAAACAATGATAAGAAGATTATAAGTTTAAAAGATTAAAAGCTAGAAGCCATTCCTGTGTCCTATTTGCTTTACACTAGTTTAAAGCAATGTAGATTTCAACGGCAAAGCCAAGTTTGAGTGAACATTTACTCATCAGTAAAACTCATTGTTTTATAGAAATAGCAGATAAGGGAGTTCAATTATCAAAAATGGTAAGATCTGCACTACACGAAAGATATTTTGGTTCATAAGGTAAGATAGCCACATATTTACTCAGAGAAATACTAACTAATCTATGTGAGGCCTTAAACAGTAACAATGGGGAGTGTAATGCACTGAGTTAAAGACATTAATAGGTAATATTTGGCAAATATGAGCAGTATCTATATACATGATTTTAATGCATAAGACCTGAATATTCTTTTATACATCATTCAACAAACCATTCAAAAGTTATAATATAGGTGACATACAAGTTACACTGAAATGTACTATATAAAATTCTCAAGAGATTGTTTTCAATGCTAATGAACAATTTTCTTTAAGAAAGTGCTAAATGGTTGTGATTTCTGGATTATCTTTCTAAAAAAACTCTAAGAATAAGAAAAATTATTTTAAAATTAAGCTTACGATTTAGAGGTAGATTATAAAGTATTACTAAATTAAACTACAGGGAAGGAAAACAAACTCATTGTGAGAGGATAACAGGGGCAATGCCCCTACCTAGGACTGTGTCTTCTTTGGCTACTGTGACACTCCAGGTTTATGCATCATTCCAGTGGCTGCCTTCGAAGATTCTGCCTCAGGAAGAAAGCCTTTCCAAATTCATATGTACTAATCATGATGGCACACGCAGGAGCAACTTTAATTAAGCGAGGAATAAGACCTGAAAAAGAACAGAAAACCAGGAAATATAACCTGACTTTTAAGAATATATCCAATTTGCTTTATTGAGAATGAGCTAGTGAAATGAAATGAAATATAAACTTTTGTATCTTAAACTGACAGCAAAAACAAGATCAAACTGTTTAACTCCCAATGTCTACTTCATGAGAAATTTATTGTAACGCTAATTAATCTATTGCTATATAGCATTTCTATTAATTTATAGCAAAAATATTTAGGAGAAAAACTAATAGAATGTTAAAGATAATTTTAGAAAGACCAATTTTAAATGAATCATTCTAGTTCAATAATTTAGTAAAGCAAGTATTTTTACCTGTAAATAATCCAGAAAGCCCATTTTTAGCAACAATGTTCTTCATTATAACCCAAGTTGACATATTCAAAGGCACAGAAACTAAATAGAAAAAAATGCCGTTTTAAATCTCAATTTAATAATTTCCAGTAGAGATGAACGGAGGCTGGGTTATGTCAGTGTACACTGTGTGCATGTATGCAAATACCACACTGAACCGCATTCAACTGTATATAATAAAAACAATTACAGAAAATTGGCTTTCTATAATTTTATCCAATGGAGTAAGACATCAAAATTTAAATAACAAAATTTCTGACTGTAAGAAGAAATTAGGAACAATTTAAGAAGCTAATCTATAAATACAAATAGCGTAAGTGAAAACATAATAACTACAGCAACCAAAAAAAGGGACATATACTTTAAACCAATTACAAAATATTTAAAGTAACATTCTAAAGAAAGTTGATGACAAGAACTTTATACTACAAATAGGCAACTTTTACTTCATGTTTCATATACATAAAGATAATAAGAAAGTAAAGGTAATAAAGTAATAATAAGGTAAAATAATAAGGTCAAATAAAGGTAATAAGACTCTTCTTACTTTATAAAGAAAGATGTTTTATTACTAAATATTTCAATACCAAAAAGTATAGAAACATTTCTTGACCATTCAAATACATTAAAGCATAGCCATTATAACCTTCAGATATGACTGAAGCCTCCCATATACATGCCCCCATCTTGTTTTCCCTTTCTCCTTACAGGTGACCATTCTGTCTTCTCATATATTTGTTTAAAATTGTACTCTGAACATATCTACTTAAACTTCCTATGTTTACTGTTGTACTGTGCATTTCCTCTTGCAGTGTGTTGCTGAAATGAGCTATGTTGGTGAGTGTAGCTCTGCTTTATTCTAATTGCTACCTGGCATTGCATTTCATATGTTATCACAACATACCTATTTTCTTGCTAAGAGACAGTTAGCTTGTATCTAACTTTTCTTTGTACATGTATGAAAGCTTCTCAAGGGGACATAAATAGGAATGAGTTTGAAAGCTTGAACATTTCTTGACACTGCCAGACTTTTTTTTTGTTGGTCGTGGGGCTTGAACTCAGGGCCTGAGTGCTGTCCTTCAGGTCTTCAGCTCAAGACTAGCACTCTACCACTTGAGCCACAGCGACTCTTCCGGTTTTCTGGTGGTTTATCTACAATAAACCATGGGTGGCGTGAGCCACCAGTGCCCAGCACTGCCAGACTTTTCTAGGGCATTTGTCTAAAATTCCTCAGTGATCCAATTCATAAAAATGTCTTCTTGTCATTCTTCATAACTACTAAGATTCAGGATTTATTTCATTTGATTTGATTTTCTGGCATTGGTACTGAGGCTTGAACTCAGGGTCAGGATTCAGTCCCTTAGACTTTTTACTCAAACCTACATTCTGCCAGTTAGTCACAGCTAGCCTTTTTTTTTTTTTTTTTTTTGGGTCCGGTCCTGGGGCCTGAACTCTAGGCCTGGGCGCTGTCCCTCAGCTCTTCAGATCAAGGCTAGTGCTCTACCACTTGAGCCACAGTGCCACTTCCGGCTTTTTTCTTTTTGCTTATGTGGTGCTGAGGAATTGAACCCAGGACCTCAGGCATGCAAGGCAAGCGCTGTACCACTGAGCCACCTTCCCAGCCCCCTGGCTTTTGTTTTTTTTTTGTGGTTAATTAGTGACAACAGTTTCAATGAGCTTTCCTGCCTAGGCTGGCTTTAAACTGTGATCCTCAAATATCAGTCTCTCGAGTATCTAGGAATACAGGCATGAGTCACCATAACAAGATTGAGGAGTAGGAGTGTGTGTGTGTGTGTGTGTGTGTGTGTGTGTGTGTGTGTGTGTGTGTGTGTGTGTGTGTGTGTGTGTGTGTGTGTGTGTATGCTGGCCCTGGGCTTGAACTTGGAGTTGTATCCTGTGTGTGTGTGTGCGTGCGCGCGTGTGCGCGTGTATGCTGGTCCTGGGCTTGAACTTGGACCTGTATCCTGTGTGAGTATGCTGGTCCTGGACTTGAACTTGGGCCTGTATCCTGTGTGTGTGTGTGTGTGTGTGTGTGTGTGTGTGTGTGTATGCTGGTCCTGGACTTGAACTTGGGCCTGTATCCTGTGTGTGTGTGTGTGTGTGTGTGTGTGTGTGTGTGTGTGTGTGTGTATGGTGGTGTGTGTGTGTGTGTATGCTGGTCCTGGGCTTGAACTTGGACCTGTATCCTGTGTGTGTGCGTGTGTATGTGTATGTGTGTGTGTGTGTGTGTGTATGTGTATGCTGGTCCTGGACTTGAACTTGGGCCTGTATCCTGTGTGTGTGTGTGTGTGTGTGTGTGTGTGTGTGTGTGTGTGTGGTGATGTGTGTGTGGTGTGTGTATGCTGGTCCTGGGCTTGAACTTGGACCTGTATCGTGTGTGTGTGTGTGTGTGTGTGTGTGTGTGTGTGTATGCTGGTCCTGGGCTTGAACTTGGACCTGTATCTCGTGTGTGTGTGTGTGTGTGTGTGTGTGTGTGTGTGTGTGTGTATGCTGGTCCTGGGCTTGAACTTTGGCCTATATCCTGTCCGAGAACTTTCTTTAAGGCTAGTGCTCTACCACTTGAGCCACAGATCTACCTCTGGCTTTTTGGTGATTAATTGGAGAATAGTCTTATGGATTTGTCTGCAAGTTGGATCTCAGCCTCATGATTAGCTAGGATTACAGGTGTCAGCCACTAGAACCTGGCTAAACTGGAAGATTTTTTTATCAGCCACTAGAACCTGGCTAAACTGGAAGATTTTTTTAAACTTTTTTTAATTGTTATTCTAAAGGTGGATTACAATTATGTAAGTCAGGTACATTTCTTTTAGACAGTGTCATTCCTTCTCTTGTAATCTCCCAGTTTTTCCACCCCATCTCCACCCACAAGTTGTATAGTTCATTTTCAACACAGAGTCTGATGAGTACCACTGCTGCATTTGTTTACCCTTTCTCCTTCCATTTCTTTGTCTCTCCTTACCCTCCCAAAGACATATAAAATAAAGTAAGACAAAAAGAAGACAAAAACAGCAATAAATTAAAAAAAAAAAACCTCATTTCCACTTCCTGGAGTTCATTTTGATAAGTATTATTTTGTATGATCAGAGGTATATAGGCCTTGTGCCTTTGGTCAGGATGGAAGATATTTAAGTAAGTATATTTGCCAAATATAAACTATAACATTTTTCCCCTTTTTTTGTTTCTTCTTCTTTTTTTTTTTTTTGGTGCCAGTCCTGGGGCTTGGACTCAGGGCCTGGGCATTGTCCCTGAGCCTCTTTGTGTTCAAGGCTAGCGCTCTACCCATTTGAGCCACAGCACCACTACTGGCTTTTTCTGAGTAGTTTATAAGAGGTAAAAGTCTCACAGGGACTTTCCTGCCCAGTCTGGCTTTGAACCATGATCCTCATATCTCAGCCTCCTGAGTAGCTAAGATTACAGGTGTGAGCCACAGGTGCATAGCATAAATACAACCATTTTTCATTGGTTAACTTTGCTTCAAAAATAGTCTTAAAATGTTTAGAATGTTGACTGTGTTTGGAGAAAAATGAACATTTATCTCTGGATTTATCTCTGGTGGATTTGTACCAAGTTGAAAAAGTTGAAGCCAGCTATGGTGGTACATACCTGTAATCTCAGTGGAAGCAGTAGGATCATGAATTTGAGGTCAGTCTTGGTTACAAAGTTAAAGGCCAGCTTAGAAAAAGTTGTGGGGAGGGGAGAGAAGGAGTCAGCAGAGAAAGAAAAAGTTGTGGGGAGGGGAGAGAAGGAGTCAGCAGAGAAAGTAGAAGAAAAATGAGGGAGGGGGTAACAATGTTCGACAAGAAATGTACTCATTACCTTAGTTATGTGAATGCAACCCCTCTGTACATCAACTTTACAACAAAATAATTTTTTTAAAGTTGCAGCTCTTTTTTTTCAGATGCACTCATCACTAGATTTAGTTAGTATATTGGGAATGATACCCATCAAGTTTTATGCATTCTGAAAATTTAGCACCTCAGTAACTCCAATTACTGTTTATCTCAGTGATTTTAGGTAAATAGTGGATCAATTTGAGTATTCATCAGAATCTACCTGCAAAGATTCTTACTTTTCTCCCTCCACACCACCACCACCACCACCACGACCATCATGACCACTACAAAAAGTCACAATTTTAATGAACAAATTATGACAATTTACAAATGACAAATTACACCAAAGAAAACATTCTTACTGTATCAAAAAGCTTGCTTATTAACAAGGGAAATGAAAACAATTCTGATTACAAGAAGGAGGAATGATACAAAATATTTTGAATGACAAAAGTAAGATGGCATGAGCAGCTACAAGGCTCATATCTGAAACCAGATATAAGAAAGCTTTGGTTATCTCCCTGGTTTTTATTAGTACCTACAGTAGAGGAAGCTAGGTATTTGAAGGGCCAAAGACAAGGTTGTCAGCAGTTATCTCTCAGATTTGTTTCAGAGGCCTATGGTCAATTTTTCTTTCACATTACTTCTATTTAATTTTTTTGTAAAATACTGTCATACATAAGAATGAATTATTTACATATAATAGGCTATCAAATTAATATAATACAATTTTATAATGGATTATTTCTCATAGGTTGGAGATATAAGCAGATATAAATATAGATATATCTATGTACTTGCTTTTGAAACAAATCTTACCATATAGTCCAGGCTGGCCATAAAATAATCAAGATTTACCAAAAATTCTCAATCCTTCTGAGTGCTGGGATTATAGGCATGTACAACTATGCCCAGCTTGGCTATATATATATATATATATATATATATATATATATATATATTTTTTTTTTTTTTTTTTTTTTTTTGGGGGGGGGGTCAGTCATGGGGCTTGAACTCTGGGCCTGAGGGCTGTCCCTCAGGTCTTCAGCTCAAGGCTTGAGCCATAGTACCACTTTTAGTTTTCTGGTGGTTTACTGGAGATAAAGAGTCTCACAGCCTTTCCTGCCTAGGCTACCTTTGAACCGTGATCCTCACATCTCAGCCTCTTGAGTAACTAGGATTTCAGGTGTGAACCACTGGCACCTGGCTTGGCTATACTTTTTATTTTATTTTATTGTAAAAATGCTGTACAGAGGGGTTACAGTTACATGAGTAAGGTAATGAGTACATTCTTGTTGAGCATTACTACCCCCCCTCTTTGGCTATATATACTTTTTAAAGAAGAATAAATGATGATATGGGAGAAACAGCTAGAACAATATACTCTTGCAATAGAAGTTACAGAGAAGTTAGAAAGAACTTAGAAAAAGATGAATAATCAGGTTAAAAAAATTAAAGTTTTTCAATGCTTATAAACATGAAAAGCTAAACACTAGTCAAAGAAAAGGGAATACATATGCTTACAAAAAAATATTCCAGGGCTGGGAAGGTGGTTCAGTGGTAGTGAGATTGCCTTGCATACTTGAGGCCCTGGGTTCGATTCCTCAGCACCACATACGCAGAAAAAAAAAAGCCGGAAGTGGTGCTGTGGCTCAAGTGGTATAGTGCTAGCCTTGAGATGAAGAGCTGAGGGACAGCACCCAGGCCCACAGTTTAGGACCCACAACCAAACCCCTCCTCCCCCCCCAAAAAAAAAGTATTCCAAAAGCTGGGTGCTAATGGCTCATTCCTGTAATCCAGGCTATTCAGGAGATTGAGTTCTGCGGATTACAGTTCTAAACTAGCCCAGGCTGGAAAGTCACTGAGACTTATTAACCACCAAAAAGCTGCAAGTGCTTTATTATTGCTCAACTGGTAGAACACTATCTTTGAACAAAAAAGTTCAAGGAAAGTGCCTAGGTCCTAAGTTCAAGCTCTAGGACGGCAAAGGAAAGAAAGAAAGAAAAGGAAGAACGGAAGGAAAGAAAAGAAAGGAAGAAAGAAAATGAAGGAAGAAAGAAGGGAAACAAGTCTTGATTTCTTATTTTGTTTGGGTTTATGGCACTTTTTTTTCTAGATATTTCACTGCACTAATACATGCTTTTTAGATTCATTAGAAATTAATATATAAGAGAAACAATCTGGTTCTTATTTCAGGTATTTCTGACTTAATATCTTAGAGAGAAAAAGAAAAATGCCTTAAACTTACTTTTATAACTTTCTGAAGTCCAAAGCTGTGTCTGTTTTTGTGTTTTCACCACATCAAATGGTAAAGTTACAATAGCTGCAAACTATCAGAAAGTAAAACTGATTAATTTACATCTACTTCTTAAGTTTTGCTAAAGTATTTTAAAATTCTAATTAGCACTATTTAAACAAGGATGATAATGAAAATCATAATAAACAAGTTCCAATCACTTCCAGGCACATTTAACGAAAAGTTAAGGATTACTAAAAGGAATCCTTACAAAGGATTTAGGTATGTCCTGTGTATTCCTCAAAAAAACCTGAATGCCTTGCGTAATGGGATTATACAGCTAGGTACCATGACAAAGCCTCAGATTTCTCTATTTCTGAATCACTATTCAGTTTCTGAAGCTCCTATAGATTCCACTACTCCTTTACTTCACGTGAAGCTATAACAATACTTTAATACAGAAATTCGCCAGTATGTAGCAAATATTTAAAAATTTCCAGCGAATGTTTTAAGAATGGAATTTTTAAAATAATCATGGTTATAACTGTAATGATGTAACAAATCCAGAAATTATAACACATTTAAAATAAAACATAAACACTAGACATATTGTAAATTATTTTAGTGATTTAAGATTTTATGCTTAAATATGTTTTAAAGCAATACAACAGAAAAAGTACTCTCAATATATATGAAGTTTGATAGCATATTTTAATCTATTTTACTATGTAATTCCCATTTGCTGGAATATTAACAACAAAAGAATAAACTTACAGAACCAGACAATGCCCCTGAAGTAAAGCTGATCATAAATGTTGGTTCATATAAACCAGATTTCTCACATAACCACTTCTTTAAAATTTCATAGTTATACCAGTACATTGCTATAAAAACAGAGAATGAAATGAGCACATATTTAGAAATAAAGTATAAACTATAAAGAAAAGATTTATGAAACTATAAATCAAAAGGAAAAATTCTAATCTTGGTATACCTTGATTTCTGCTTAGAGTGGATAAGATGTAAAAATGTGGAGATGGAAATCCTCAGTAATATTTAAGCAGTCTTATAAACAAAGCAAAACAGCACCAAAACCATTAATATATCAATAGGATAGGACAATAATTTAAAAACCAGACAAGGACAAAGGGAAAAAAGAAAAAGTATATATAAATTATATAAATATAATCGATGAATATAGGTATAAAAATCCTTTTCAAAAAAAAGAGAAAAAATGGAAGTAAAAAGTGTTTTTCATAAAAGATCACTCTTAATATTGTATGTTATCCCAGGAATGCAAAAATAATATAATAAAACACTACCAACCACACTGAAAAAAATCATGTAATAAATGAATGATGAAAAATCACTTGATAAAAATCTGTCTTTGGGGCTGGGATATCTATCTTTGGTGTCTCAGTTGTAGAGTGCTTGCTTAAATGCATAGGCATTGGGTTCGATTCCTCAACACCACATAAGCAGAAAAGCCCGAAGTGGCACTGTGCCTCAAGTGGTAGAGCACTTGCCTTGAGCTGAAGAGCTGAGGAACAGCACCCAGGCCCAGAGTTCAGGTCCCACAATGGACAAAAAACAAAAACAAAACTATAATTTCTATTTAAAGCAAATAAATAAATTTCTTTGAAAAATCTAAAGATAAGTCAGGCGCCGGTGACTCACATCTGTAATCCTAGCTACTCAGGAAGCTGAGATCAGAGGATCATGGTTCAAAGCCAGACCAGGCAAGAAAGTCCATGAGACATCTCCAGTTAACCACCAGAAAACTGGAAGTTGTGCTGTGGCTCAAGTGGTAGAGCACGAGCCTCGAGCTGAAGAGCTGAGGGACAGTGCCCAGGCCCAGATTTTAAGCCCCATGACCGCCCCCCCCCCCACAAAAAAAATCTAAAGATAAAAGGGAACATCTTTAACTTGATACAGGATGTGAATCAAAAGCCTGTGGTAAAAATAATTAGCAATGCTGAAACAACAGAACTATTTCCTTAAACTGAGCAAAATAAAATGACAGGGATACCTGATATATTTAGATAATATGTAAGTAGAAACCCAAGTGGTATTTAGACAAATAATTTGTAACAGTACCTTAAAGGTAGATGGATATAAACTAAAAAGTAATTTATTTTATTTTACTTTATTTTTTTGTCGGTCGTGGGTCTTGAACTCTAGGCCTGAGTGCTATCCATCAGCTCTTCAGCTCAAGGCAGACACTCTACTATTTGAGCCACAGAACCACTTCTAGTTTTCTGAGTGGTTTATTGGAGATGGACTTTCCTGCCAGACTGGCTTTGAACTGTGATCTCAGTGTCCTGAGTAGTTTAGGACTATAGGCTTTAGCCACCAGTGCCTAGCAAAAAATAAAAATTTTTACCAGCTACAAAGTTTTACAACATGTAACTTTAAAAAGTAGAGTTATAACAATGGCTGTGTGGCACAAGGCCAAATAAAATAGCTACCAACAGCTGAGGGATGAGTATTACCTATAAGTTATATCTACAAAGCATCATACATTCTTCATTAGGACAAAGTTAAATATTTTAAAATCTTTAAAAGATTAATAACATAAACATTCCTAGAAATGAAAAATGAGGTGATATCAAGATTTTTATAAAGCTACAGTAATTTAGGAGAAGTATGCACACATACTTGGACAAATTAACCAATGAAACAAATCCAGGAATCCATGAAAATTTGATCTGGCAGAGATGACATTACATATCTCAGCAGCAACTCTAGTTACTCAATAAAGGATGTTGAGTTCAGAAGCTACCATGGGCTATCCATAGACTGAAAATCAATTATAAGTAACTGAATGGCTAATGAAACAGTGCCCAATCTTACTGGTAATCAGGAAAATGTAAATTAACATGAAATACTACTTTCAATTTCTAAGCTGTTAAAAGGTATGAAAGTGCAAGAGATGCAATACATTGGTGGTAGATATACAGATTTATCTAGTTACTTTAGAAGAGTTCACTATTTCCTAACAAAACGTATATATGTACATATGAAATGTGTCTATGGTATTTGTATAAACCATTAAATTCAATAGGTAAAACTATTTCATAGAAACATAAACTAAGTATTTTTGTAGTACTACTATTCCCTTATAAATAAGATTAAAAATGAATAAAACATAGCTACATATAAAAACAAGAAAAAAAACCTTAGGAAAACTTAGAGTAAAGAAAGATATTTTTTCTTTTTTTGGGTGGCACTGGGTTTGAACTCAGGGCCTGACAGTTACTAGGAAGGTAGTTTACTGCTTGAACTATACTTTCAGCCCTTTTGGTTTGAGCTACATTTTGAATAGCACTTTTGCCTGGATAAACCTGGACTACAATCCTTCTACTTATGCTTCCTACAATAGCTGGGATGAAGGTATATACCACTATGCCCAGTTATTGCCTGAGATGGAAGTTTTTTTAAATTTCTGCTGAACTGTAATATCCTGATCTCTATTTTCCTCCAAGCAGCTAGGATTATAGGACTAAAAAACTGGCACCTGCACAACAAGAATTTTAAGACTCAGTAACAGACAAAAACAATTCACCGTTTAGCAAAAATTCATCGAAAAAACAACAATCAACTAGAAATGTGTGATCAGATGAGAAAATAACTTACCTTTATAAAGGTAAAAAGTAGATTGGTAAGATAAAGATACCTCAAATTTAGTAAATACGAATAACACAAATCCTACCTGAGAAAGGTACATCTCTAAGAATAGTAGGCGCCCAGCCCTTCCAGAGGGAAACCCAACCATCTTCAGATACTTTCTGGCTGATAAATTGACGTAGTTCCTTGTAAGAAAACTTCTTGGACTGCATCTTGGTTCTAATCAATTCTAATGGACTTATCACACTTACTGCACCAACTAATACAAATAAGACAAAAAAAACTATGTAGTATGCAATTCTAAATGCACAAATATTTAGTATGTTTTATGACATTTAATCTTTGATTCTAAAATGTCTGTAAACTTGACACCAAATATCTAATTATATTAACTCACTTGAAACCAGAAAATGATGTATGAAAACAGAAACATTTATCAAGGGAAAAAATACCTGTATCAACACTTTCAAGATAGATAAAGTTACAGTCAACTATGTTATTGTCACCAATTCTGGTTAAGACCCCCAAATAACATCACTCGTATTTCACAAAGAAAACATTTTTTTTCTTAACAGAAGCAAATCTCATTCTCCAAGCACAGAGTCCTCAACTTTATAAGGAAAATGATTCAAGACATTGGCCTAAATCATGTCTAAATTCAGATGATTCCTTAGAAATTTAAATGAATAAGACACAATTTTAGCATTACTCTAAAAAATGTCCAAGCTTTAAGCAACAAGGGCTAACTGCATCCCATACTGGTGATAACCTCCATTACCATGTGACTTCTAGAGTCTAGACAATAACAAGCCAGCACAAAACAGAATACAAAGTATATTTTATATTTTACCAGCATGCTGTACATTGTACAAATTCTTTTTTTTTTTTTTGTACAAATTCTTTAAGAAGGTCAAATTTTATAGATAGTCTAAACAAAAACCAAAATGAAAAGCTTATTACTTACATCTGGCCAGAATTCCAGCAACAATTGGTATTCGAGTTTCATTTTCTCCTAATTTAGATCTCAGATGAGCAGTTAATTGATCATAGCAGGTAAAATAGATAACTGTGGCAGGAACTGCCATCACTCTGTTAGAAGCACACAAAGAAATTTGTTCAGACTTTTCAAAAATTCTCAAAAAGGACTCAAAGGCATGGTTCAAGTGACAGAGTATTTACTTACGAATTATGAGGCCCTGTGTTGAATCCCCAGTATTGGGGTGGGAGTTAGAGAGGACTTAACAAATACTATTAAACTGAAATATTATAGCCAGGTAAAATGACTCAAGCCTGTAATCCTGGCTACCTGTGAAACAGAGATGGGAGATGATGGCTCAAGGCCAGTCAGAATGTTCAAGTATGAAAGACTTCATGGCATTCAATGACTAGGTATTACGTACCTTTGCCCCACCTACAGGGAAAGCATAATGGCTGGTGTATGCCTGTCTTCCCCAGACCACAGGGAGGCACAAGAAGGATGATCACACTTCAGATTAGCCAGGGCATAAAATGAAAGCCTATCTAAAAAATAGCCAGAGAAGGCAGAAGGATAAAGGATAAAGGAGGCTGAGTACCCTTGATACAGATTGTTTCTATGAAAATAAGGAAATCTGTTAGGGATGCTATTGGGGGAGGAGAAGTCTGATAGAGGGAGTAAGATTGGAATACAGTGTGAAAATGTGTGGAGAGTAACAATGAAATCCTTCCTCTTGTATAACAAATATAAGCTAATGAGCAAAAAGGGCTGGAGGCAACCATATCCCACAAAATTCAATATTAGGAGCTACAAGAAAATAATAAATTAAAAATCCCATCAGTCCATGATTTATCTATGTTTATTTAACAACTATATATTACTTAGTAAACAGTTTAAAAATATATAAAAGGCATTTGCCCTCCAAAATTTTAAATGATTCTCATGAAGATAAATTACAATATGATATACAGCATTAACTATCATGTAACCAAGCTCAGATCATGTAAAGAGCACAATCCCAAGTCATAAATAGGAAATGATTATTAGGCAACTTTTACAATTTCATGACTTTCTAGGTCTGTTTCTGGTCTTCCAGATCTGCCTTTTCAATTAATGTTGACCATTATAATATTTTAAATATTATATTTTAATATAATATATTATATTAAATATGACATTTTAAAAGGTTCAGGAACAAGTATAAAGCCATACGGATCATATATCATACATGCTTACTTTCTGGGAGCTAGAAGTTTTATTAATCAGAGCTTGTCACACAAATGAAATGTTCCTTCATAACCAATGTCCAATAAAATTTGGCAAACTCAACTGGGTTTACTAAGGCAAAAATGCTGCACATTATATCTAGTCAGATAGAAAACTAATTTGCAATGCCCTAAGAGATGACTTTGGAAGTCCACAGACTGGTCAATTCCCAATGTCCCTTTTTCCTTACCCATTTTGCTTTTAGCTGTAATGAACCATATCCATGAGCACAGCCCTCCTGAGGGTCTGAGTCCTCCAAGTACATCACAATGTTTCAGGAAGAGCACAAATATTTAAAATGAAGACTTTGTCTAACCATGCTGATTACAACCTTCACTCAGTAGAAAAAGTATTTGATTTCAACTTACAGAGTAGGAGGAAGACCACTCCACAGGGATTTAATGCCTTCATTTCTAATGATTTTTAAAAAGGCATCCTATAATAGAAAAGCACATTGCTATATAAAAAAAAAGTCAAAATTATCCCTAAACTTGATATATATATATATATATATATATATAATATTATGATAACTGATGATTCTTTTATGCATTGATTTCTAAAATAAAAGCTTCTTGGATTTAAGTATGTTTATTCTTTTTTTTTCTTAAAAAAGACAATTTTAACGTAAGTAAAATGAACACCTGTGGAAAATACTTCTTACAGAATAATGTCTCTATTACTTGGCTCTGGATTGTACTACTTAGTTCTACTTTAAAGCTTTTTCACTTCTATAAGTTTCTTTTTAACTGGCACACAGATGTACAAGGGTAGTTTCATTGTGATATTTCTACACATACATACAACATATTCCAATCATTCTCACTCCTTCCATCACTTTTTTTTTTGAGGTGGTACTGGGGCTTGAACTCAGGACTCATCTCAAAAATAAATAAGACAGATAACAAGTACTAATGACAATATGAACAGATAGGAGTCCTCATAAATTTCTGCTGGGAATAAAATGGTATAGTCATGCTGGAAAAAAGGAGGGCACTTTCTCCAAAGTATAAATTTAGTGGTATGATGAGATCCGCCAATCCCAATTCCAGATAGCCAAGAAAAATTATTTGGGACTAAGAAGAAATAAAATATGACATGCTATGATATTAATGAGCCATAAAACACTGTGTTATTTACAAAGCTCATCACAAAGGATGGCATGTTGTCCTAGGAAAAGTGAAACATAGTAAGCTTAAAGTTTTAAGACAATAACTGCTCTACTCTAGCCAAATGCTCTTGAGGCTTACTTTATCATAAAAAGATGCAAATATTTACAAGAATTTTTGTTCCAAAAAGCTAAAAACTGAAAACAGCCTTGAAAGCAAACTGTTGCACATATATACCATGGAATACTAATAAGCAATAAAGAGGAACATGATTGACACATGTCACAACCTGGAAAATCATTTTAAGTTAAAAATGCCTATAATCCTTTGACTTGGGAGGATATAATATGTGTTTGTGGTATGTGTAGTATGTGGCATGTGTGTGTATGTGTGTATGTGTGTGAGGTGTGGTGTGGTGTGTGTCTGTACAGAGAAAGAGTTAGTTCTATGGCAGCTTACACTACAATAAGAAACTTAAAAAGAAAGCAAAAAACAAAAAAGAGCTGGGTGTGGTGGCTCTGACCTGTAATCCTACTTGGAATCAGAAACTGCGAATGTAGATATACTTAAAGACAGTCGGGTAAAAAGGTAGCAAGACCCCATTCTCAACATATATGCCAAGTATAGGTGACTGCAATCCCAGGAAACTGGGAGGCATAGTAGGAAGACTATGTTCTAGAGTGGTCCTGGCAAAAGGCAAGGCCCTCTATCTAAAAACTTTTAAAACCTTGAAAAGCCAAAGGAACTGGAGGTTTTCAAGCAGTAGAGTGCTTGCCGAGCTATTGCAAGGCTCTGATTTCAAATCTCAGTTACACGCCCCCACCACCACCTCCCAAAAAAGCCAAATCCCTAAAAGTTAGACATATTAGGATTCCACACATATAGTGCTTTTGAAATGACAAAATTTTATAAATTGAGAACAGATTAGTAATTGCCAGAGGTAAGTAAGAGCAGAGCACAGGTTGTAGCTAGCTCTCAAAGGGGAACAGGCACAATCACTGTAATGATAGAATAGATTTTTAAGTTAACATTAATACCTCAGTTGTGACCTTCCCTACTACTGTAAGGTGTTATTACCACTGGATAAAACTGGAAAGAACAGAGATGAGATTTGTTTGTTCAATTCTCTTAATATTACAAGCGATCTACAATTATCTCAAAATAAAAATACCTAATTTTATAAAACTACACCCTCTTTTATTTCTCCATAAAAAGCATAAACCAAGAAAAGATATCAAAGAGCTAAGAGGAAAGAAATACTTTACTTTTTCTGACTTAATATGATGGACTTCTTTACTTCCCTACGATTGGAAGTGTAAAAATAGAAAACATACAGGATTCTAAACAACATAATCTCCTTACCAATGTTCCCCGGAAGTTTCCTGGCTTCTCGTACCATGCTTTGCTGCCTGCCTCTTCACAGATACACATGTGATCCATGAGTCCATTACTGTACATAAAGCATTTTCCTGACAAAGGAGTCCAGCAGTCAGTAATTACCTCACATAATTATTAGTTTTATAGACAAATAAAAAAAGAATAATGGGGAGACTAGAAAACTATGGAAAGATAAATTACCTTGAAAAATAAAGTAACTCCATTCAAGAATGAATCCATTTTGCTTAATGATATGGCAATGGGTTCTAAACTCACTTGTGAAAAATCATGGAATAAATTAGTCATAAATTTTTATTTTGTCAGAAATGTACACAGAAATAAATTATGTTATTCACGGGAAGAAACAAGACAAAGGAAGAAAGGTTTGATTTAGAAAGAGAATATGGATGCATACCTCTTTTACTTAAAAGTATGCATGAGAAATTTAGACATAAATGGATTAGAGAGAATAATTGTATTCCTCAATGTAAATAATGCTGTGCTCTGGCTCTTCCTCTATGTCTGTACTGCCTAGTCTAGCCATTGGTAACTTCCTACAACTTTCACTAATACCAAATTATTTACTAGGTCCACTCTTGTTGCCAAAATTGTGTTCTTTGTTTATGCAATTTTCTGAGTACTATAATGTATAAGTCTAAATATCCCCTTTTGCTTTTGGATTTCATTGTTTGATGGAGTTACTGGGGTTTGAACTCAAGGGTTTAAATTCAAATTGGTAGGCAAGCTCTCTATTGAAGAGCTACAACTCCAGCCCTTTTGAACATTGGTCCTTTTGAAAGAGGGTCTTGCTTTTTTCTCAGGTGTAAGCTCAGACCTTGATCCTCCTATTTTATGCTTCCTATATGCCCAGTTCTTCCATAGAGATGGAGTTTTGAAAAATATTTTTGTCCAGGCTTGCCTGGAACCTTGATCTTGCTGATCTCAACCTCCTGCATAGCTGGAACAACAGAGGTACTTACTGAATTCAATGACTGGTTGAGAAGGGATCTCATGAACTCTTTGTCTGAGCTAAACTCAAACTTCAATCCTCCCAATCTCAGTCTCTCAAATACCTAGGATTACAAGCATGAGTCACTGAACCTAGCTTCAAGACTTTCTTTAGTGTGTAAGAAATTACATTTCAGTTGTTTCTAATTATTCATCTATCCTTTTATTTATCTGAAAAAAATGAGCTGTTCATTACATTCCATTTCTATGCCATCAACACAATTTTCTCACAGTCCAGTCTATCCTCTGCTATTTGTTTTTTGCTAGTCCTGGGACTTGAACTCAGGGCCTGAGCACTGTCCCTGAGCTTCTTTTTGTTCAAGGCTAGTGCTCTACCACTTGAGTCACAGCTCCACTTCCAGCTTTTTCTGTGTATGTGGCCCTGAGGAATCGAACCCAGGGCGTCATGCATACTAGGCAAGCACTGTACCTCTAAGCCACATTCCCAGCCCTATCATCTACTATTTAATGCTTTTTTGGTTTGGCTTGGTTTTCATGTTTTAAGCTCAGGGCTGTGTGCCTGCAAAGCAAGTTCTCTACTACTAAGCTACATCCCCAGCCTCCTAAGTATGTTAAAAATAGATTGACCATGAAACTGGTATTCTTGCTCAACTTAAGAAACATATAATTACTTCTCTCAAATTCCACAAGAACTCCTGTCTAGCAATTAACCAGGCTGCCTAATTATGAATTTCCAATAACTGGATTTAAGCAACAGTTAATTGTTAGAAATGTCGGAGAATGGATGGAAGACTTAGACAAAAGAGGAAGTTAAGATTCTAAGGTGTCTTACAAGTACAATTCTGATCTTACTTGAGAGGTATACACATACATATATAGTATATACAATCTGCAGCTTTACTTAATAGGTCTTAAGAGTGGTAGATATAATAGGTATGTGTGTACATATGTATGTATGTGTATATGCCTACACTCATCTTATAAAATGGTAAGCAAACATTTCTGCATTGGACATCCATTTTAATAAATTATCAAAAGTAGTATGACTATAGACACGTTTATAGATCTAACATAACATTTTCAGGGTAAGTAACACACATACCTTTGGGAAAGGGGTTTCTCTGAGCTTGGAGTCGAATTTTAACTACATCCAGTGGTGTCACTATGAATACATAAGTTTCAATTAACAAATGATAAGTTTAAATTTTATAGAAATTTCCCAGAAAACATAAAACACAAATTCATACCCTTCCTCACTGTTTTGTAATGCTCATATAAAACTATGGAAGTCTGGAAGTGTCACTGTGGCTCAAGTGGTAGAACACTAGCCTTGAGCTCAAAGAGCTGGGAGACAGCACTCAGGCCCAGAGTTCAAGACCCATGACCAACAAAGCAAAACAAAACAAAAACTATGGAAGTAGTCTTGAAAATACTTACCCACTAAACTATATTCCTAGCTCTTCAATATAACTTTCTAACATTTTTGCCCTCAAGTCTTGCTTAAAGAGGACTAGTGCAAAGAAATAGTGCAGTTAATTCCCTCACAGGTATAGTCATTTATAATATAGCTACAACCACGTTCCACTAGCATTAAGGCTCTTGATTTTCTGTGTCCAGACTTCCTTTGATATTATCAGACTGATAAGGAGTATTAGCATCATTTATGATCAGCAATAACTATTTCAAAGACAGTCAAACTCTAATGGATGCATTGATTCATTCAACATTGTACAGTCTACATTGGTGATGTAATTTTACCCATTAGTGATGTCAATATTGCTCCAGTACAAGAGGCCAGCATTTGCTGTAGCGGTGTCACTTTGACTATCGGTGGGTCTTCTGTTTCAGTAACCATATTTTTAACTAATTAGAGAAAAATCTGTTAAAGAAAAGCAAAGAATGAAAAAGTTTAACAATAAATGACTTCAAAATTGACTGGTAATGTTACACTTTTAAAATAATAACCCAAGAGGGGTACTGGTGGCTATCCCTGAAATTCTAGCTACTGAGGAGGCTGAGTTCTAAGGACTGGTTTGAAGCCAGCCCAGGAAGAAAAGTCTATGAAACTCTTATTTCTAATGAACTACCAAAAATCCAGAAGTGGAGCTGTGGCTTAAATGGCAGAGTCTTGAGCAAGAAAGCCCAGGTACAGCACCAAAGCCCTGGGATCAGCATAACAATAGTAATAACAATACGCAGAAGCTGAGACTATAGCTTAATGGTAGAGAGTTTGCTTACTTTAGTATGTATAACACCTTAAGTCTGAATTCCTATCATTGAAAAAAAAACAATTTATGTCAGAACACATGTTTTTGAGCTTTATTAAAATTAAATATGTAAGTTCTGTATAAATAGGTATAACTGTCACTAACAGAATATGTTCTCTGATCTTAAAATGGCCACTGTGTATCAGCTAAACTCTTAAGTGCAGCATCACTTTTTTTTTTTTTTTTTTGGTCAGTTGTGGGGCCTGAACTCTAGGCCTGGGCGCTGTCCCTCAGCTCTTCAGCTCAAGGCTAGCGTTCTACCACGTGAGCCACAGAGCCACTTCTGACTTTTTTCTGCTTATGTGGTGCTGAGGAATCAAACCCAAGGTCTTATGCATGTAAGGCAAGCACTCTACCACTGAGCCACCTTCCCAGCCCTGCACATCACATTTTAAAGACAGCTAAGAGAGAGTTATGGAAATAGACTCTGACCTAGTGACAGTAAAAGAAGCTGACCAACAAAAAGTTACAGAATCTGTAAATTTACAGGTTAATTTTGTCTCATAAACACTATTCAGATGCCTTAATCTAACACTGAATATTATTAAATACTGTACTATCTTTATTAAATACCAAAAGTAATTGCATGGGTATAAAACAAAATGTTTAGCTTTAATGAGAAGCAGCTTTCAAAAATTATTTTGGAAAAGCAATATATACTGTATTTTGAAGTCAGGTAGCATGAGGAGTAAAAAAAGTTGCTTACACTTACTAATTAAAAATAGCCAGTGAGTCTGGGCATGGAAGTACACATTTTATAATCCTAAGCACCCAGAAAGCAGAGACAGAAGGATCAGGCATTCCAAGCCAGCCTGGGATACACACATCTTGAAAATCAAAACACAAAATCCCAGCTGGGTACCTGTATAATCCTAGCTACTCATTAGACTGACATGTGAAGACTGTGTTTCAAAGCCAGCCTGCGCAGGAAAAGCCAATGTTCTGTTATCTCCAGTTAATCAGCCACCAAAAATCCAAGAAGTAGAGCTGTGGCTCAAGTGGTAGAATGTTAGCCATGAGCAAAACAAGCTCAGGAACAGTGCCTAGGCCAGCAAGCCTCAGGACTGACACAAGATTAAGAAAATAAACTTGATACAAATTGCCCAAATCCTTTCTAGAAAGGATAGACCAATTTATACTTCCACTGGCAATATATGATTTCCTACTGATCCACAAAGTCAAACCCCACAGTCACATTATGTCTTTTTTTTTCTTTGAGCTATTCAAAATTAGATCCCATTTATCAAGCTTCTTTGCTCTAAATACTTACAGTATTCTCTCACAGTACAATGAGCAAATTTAAGAAAGTTAATTTTGACATAATCCAGTTTTATCAGGTTTATCAATTTCTTATAAAAACCATGATACTTTGGTACTTTTTTATGAAGAGAAAACTACAATATTCAACATCTGCTATCTTAAATGTTAGTCTTTAAATTAAAAAAATTTTTAATTAAAAATTTTAAGAGGTTTCATTGTGACTTTTCTCTACATATATATAATATATCCCAATCAATCTCCCCTCCTTTTCCAACAAGATCTTAAAAGCACCTTTGTTTTTTTTAGATTTCCTTACCTACCTCCCTGGTTTAAGTCTTTTCCTCAATTCTATGCTCCAATATTTCACCGTTTGTAACATCAGAAGCTGAAAACCTGTAGTAAAAAACAAGAATCTTTTTATGTAGAAAAGTAGAGTATACAAACTATAATACATCAGCCAACAGTTATTTATTAAATGTTTTCTATTAAGTTAGCGTCTTTTTTTTAGACATAAAGTCTCACTCTGTAGCCTAAGCTGGTCTCAAATTTGTGATCTTCCTGCCTCAGTCTCCTGAGCACTGGAATTATAGAAGTATCCCCCTATACCAGCTCTATTAAATGCTTTAAGAAATATGAGGACTCTTCACAAATGCAAGCATTAAAGTTATGAAATCATTTCCATTAACACTTGCTGTTATCCAAGTTAGTACATCCATCTTTAAAAATAAACATCTCTAGAACCAAAACAGTGCTCAACCTTTGCACCATTCATAGTGGAACAATTATATGCAAACTGTTCTACAGAAAATCTCTAGAATATTTTCATCTATCATGTCTTGTTTATACCTGGGCTGGGGTGTAGCTCACTAGCTGGTCCTGAGTTCAATCCCTAGGATCAAAAAGGAAAAGAGAAAGAAAAACCCAACCTCCATACCTATTAAACAGCAACTTCAAGTTTCCCTTCCCACCCAGCCCTTGACAACCAATTCTAATTTCTGCTTTTGTGAGTTTTAGTACATTAAATACCTCCTAATTGGAATCATATATCAATCAGTAGGTGTCCTTTTACAACTGGCTTACTTCATTTAGTATGTTACTATCTTCATTTAGTATGTTGCTTACTTCATTTAGTATATCATCAGTCTAAGCATAGGTAATAATCCATTTGTTTATGTATAAATATGAATATAAATTTTAAGGACATGTAGAGTATTTCTGCCTCTTGGCAACTATATATAATAAATGTGTAAATGTAAACATTTTTTGAGGCCCTGATTTCAGTTTTGAGTAAGTATTCAGAGGTGGAACTGTGGGATGTACAGCTGTGCTATTTTTTTTTTTTTTTTTTTTGGGTCCGGTCGTGGGGCCTGAACTCTGGGCTTGGGCACTGTCCCTCAGCTCTTCAGCTCAAGGCTAGCGCTCTACCACTTGAGCCACAGCGCCACTTCCGGCTTTTTGCTTATGTGGTGCTGAGAATCGAACCCAGGGCCTCAGGCATGCAAGGCAAGCGCTTTACCACTGAGCCAACTTCCCAGCCCCAAGCTGTGCTATTTTTATCCTTTGGAAGGACTTCAATACGGTTTGCCTTAAGGCTATACCATTTTACATTCCCAACAACTGCACACAAGAATTCCAATTTCTCCATGCAGTTTTAGTCAACTTGGAATCTGTGACCAAATACCCGAGAAACAATTTACAAAAAGGAAAGGTTTATTTTTGGCTCACAGTTTCAGAGATTTCAGTTCATGGTCAATTGACTATGATGCTCCCCAGTAGCCCAGGACTGGTCTTCAGTCTGTGGAATACTAATGGGAGATGGTAGAACCTTTAACAAATGAGAGATCTTGATTTATTGGAGGCATGCCCTTTACGGGTATATAGCTGCTTCCCCATCTGTCATGTCCTGGCCACAAGGTGACTGGTTTTGCTCTGGGTAGCCATGATGTGTTGATATGCTGCCACAGGCCCATAAGCAACCGGTCAATCTAATCATGAACTAAAACCTCCAAAACTTGGAGTTAAATTTTTTTTTTCCAAGTTCATTGTCTCAACAGAAAGCTGACTAGCAGAGTACTGGTGCCAAGAAGGGAGTTTCGACATTGCTGTGACTACGCCTAAAGATGTGGAAGAACCTTCAGAGTTGGTTTGCAAGGTGAGATTTGAAAGACTTGGATAACTGAATAGAAAAAAACCTAGATATGATATAGGCAGAGCTTAATGGGGGTGATTCTGGTAAAGTCTCAGAAGATCAAAATGCTGACCAAAAATGGACAGTTAAGTCTCATATGGAAATAAAGGTCTGCTCATATTATATACTATGATAAATAATTCTATTCAAGACTGACCTATGTTCTGCTCAAAGGTGATGGACTTGCTTACCAGGAGAAGAAATTTCAAGGCAGCAAATCATTCAGGCAGTGGCTGGGGTATTAGTGGCTGCTTTTAGTCAGATTTACAGTGATAATCAGAAACAAAAAGGAGCAGAGCAGACATTTAAATTCACAGCTTGTCCAGAAAAGGAGCAATAGGAGTTATGCCTTGAGGATATCTCAGGAGGAACAAACTAGAGAAGTCAAGGAAGCTGTGAGCAAAACTTCACAGGCTAGATGCTACCAGGAATACCTACAATTTATACTGAGTACCTACAGTTTGTACTGAATGAGCTAACAGATGGAATGAAGATTCTCTTTCAAAACTGGACTAGAGGCCAGGACCTAGTCTACTGAAGAGAAGATTACAGGCCTACCCTTGTAGGCTCAAAGGTGTTAAAAAGTATAAATCTGTTTCAGACTCCTTTGTTTTACAGCGCAGAGCATCCAGATTACTCAGAAACACTGGAATCAAGAAGTCACTCAAGAAGCTTCCTAAGTACATGTGACACAGCTCACATCATGGCCGACTGGCTTCATTTATGTGATGCTAATTTTGCGGACATGCAGATTTCAAGAGGGTAGGAAGAGGTCTCTGACAAGATTCAAAGGAAAGCTTTGGAGGCCAGACAGTATATGACATGGTTGGATTTCCTGTAAACAGGCCTAGACAGGATGATAGGTGAGCTGTCAGAGTGAAATCAAAGCTTCAATGGAGACACAACCTAAGAAGTGATGCCAAGAGTGTGGAATGTCTGCCAGGGGAAGCTGCAGGCAGTATACAGGTAACCCAAGAAAACAGTGATGTGGGCTGCAGTGTGCCCATTCAATGTGACTGCTGGGTCCACTGCATCCTTTGCAACCCAGATCCACCATGGTATGCCGCAGATGCCAAACATGGAGACTTGGGATTTAATGTTTGCTTTGATGAGTTTCGATCTTATTTGGTATGATCCCTCATTATTTTTTTATTCCTTCCTTTTGGAATAGTGATCTTTACCCTGTATCTTAAAAGTATACATAATTTGTTTGTGCCTGTGTTTGTAATTGGCAATACTAGGTTTAAAATTTGGGAACTCAACATACTATACCATTCAAGCCACACCCCTAGTCTATTTTGCTTTAGTTTTGTTTTTAATAGAGTCTCATACTTTTGATCAAGCTGGTCTTAGACAGTAATCTTCTTATGTCTGCCTTTCAAGTATCTGGCATTACAGGTGTGTACCAAAATGCTTACATGGCTTTTTAGAGACAGAGTTAACACCATATTTTCTGGTCTCCAATTGTAATTCTTCTACCTCTGCTTCCTACATAGCTGGGATTACAGGTGAGTACCACCATGCCCAGCTCAACATAATTTGGTTTCAGTACTTTTATTGGTGATCACAGCTGAGTTTTCCTTGAGTCTCAGAGAAAACCTTGAATTTGGGGTTATGAATAAAGATGTTACAGTTACATAGATGGATTATATGTATTTTGAACTATGAGACGAATATGAGTCTTGGGTGGCCAGTTTTAGAATACTATGCTTTATGTGCAAGACAGGCATAAAAGACATGTGCCTTGCTTGTCTGTGCTTGTTATAACCTAGGGCTGGGACCACAGGAAGGGAAGTTTCCCATTAATCTCTTGCCAGCTTTTTGGTCTATTCCCCACCACGACCAAGGGACCTGGAAGAGATTTGGTCCTTCTAGCTTTAGACATGCCAAACAGCCTATCAGGCATTCTGGATACAAGCAGCTAAAGGTGTTCAAGAAAGGCTTCTGAAAATCACCAAGAGTTGGGGAGTACACTGAGAACGGAGTGGACAAAAGTCTAGAACAGAAAGGTAATGTTTAATCATGCAACTTGGAATACTTGCCTAGTATGCACAAATTCCTGAGTTTGATCACCAGCGCCGCTCAAAGAGGCTCAAGGTCCTCAAGTCACTTAAGGATAGGGCCGTTACTAAATGAAATTCATTTCTCTTGATTCAAGGCCAAATGTTCATGCAACTAGACCATGACTCTGCTCAAAGTTCTCCAATTTTGCTTAGTAGGCGGCTTTAAACAAGCTTCTGACCACAAATAACTCTGCCTCCATTAATTTCTTAACCTTTTATCTGAAGGGTTCTTTTCAAGCACATTTTTAATTTCTGCTTTAACATAAATCTTGCTCAGTTTTTGGAGGGGTAGGGTACTGTGGTTTGAACTAAGGTGCCCAATCCCACCCAGCCTATCTCCCCATACTAAACAGAAGCACTACCACTTGGGTCACTCAAGGCCACAAACCATAGTAATAGATGTGATTATTAACCTAAAAGATAAGGAGATTTCTGTCTTTAATGGCCACAGATACATGACGAAGTCCTTCTTATGGTTAGTAAAAGATTTGGGTTCCAATAATAATAAATGATATATATATATATACACATGTATATATACATACATATATACCAACCACCCTTTAATTACATTCTATAATATTAACTATATTCTACATTAGTTTTTTTCAGCTTTTTAAATTTTTTGATAACATACAAATCTGGTGCTTTCTATAGTTTATACTTTAACAAAAGGTACTTTCTCCCAAACAGAGATGATAAAATCAAATGTGTGCTCAAACTACACATCCTGCTGCCTCTCAAGATCTGTAAACTCTTATCCTTCACTCCACGTGTGATGTCCATTATCCGGTACAATGTCTCCTGTCCTCCATAAGTCCCTCTCCCAGCCCACTCTCCTGAGTTGCAAATACCTCCATCCATCTAACAAACACAGTTTGGCTGTGTTGGCTCCACAGCTGCTCCAGACTTTTCAACCTAAACCTTTAGTCCCCAACAAAACTTTCCTTCCTCTTCGCAACCTCAATCTCTATGTTGGCTAACGGCCCAGTCCACTCTTGCCTCTAATACACTTAATTACAAAATGGTATACTGACACAGCCTTGACTTCTCTGAAGTACTACATCAAAGGAGTCACCACCATGTGGTGCAGGGCCCAGGCCACAGGGCTGAGACACACCTTCCTTCCAGAGGGTTCAGAG